GTGCCGTTAACTGGCGGAAATTTTAATGACCCAATTCAATTTTTTTCTTGTTTCGTTTTTATGCATCTCTGTCCTTATTATTTTKCACATAACTGTATACTGAAAAAGTAAGGGACATCTTTTTGAAGACTTATTCATAATTAAAATTGCTGAGATTATGAAGTTTATATAAAAAAAAAACTGGGTAAGTTTTAGAAGAGCAAAGAGTATGGACTGATAGAGAAGATTCATCAGATTAAGAATATAAAATAAAACTTCTATTGACTTATGGATTTTGAGGTTACTTCCGTTCAATTCTATTTACTCACATAATGACTCACAAATAATCGGTGTTACCATACCTACATATTTTGCAAACGAACCCAAAAAAAATAAAGAACAAATATCACATTTTGAGTTTTCCTCAAAGAATCTCTTTTCCGTTTGGCGCCCTCGGCCGCGCTTCAAAATATTAACCCAGGTCGATCCAACACCGTAGCACGATTTCACGTTACTCATTACGCGGGGTAATTAAAAAACAACGAATACGGAACTGACGGGAAGGACCTCTCCGAGCCGTTCCATACCAAACAGCTTTCAGACAAAGCGAAGATAGGGAGTGCGACTTCTTCAATTTACTTCTGGAGAAAATAATTCGAACTGCAGAGCTGAAACAAGAAAGTACAATCGTTCATAAGAGCGTACAACTCCTGGTTTACGCCAATAATATTGATATCATTAGACCCAACAACCGTGCGGTTAGTTTTGCTTTCTCCAGATTGGATAAGGAAGCGAGGCAAATGGATCTGGTAATGAATAAGGGCAAAATAAAATATCTCCTGTCACTGTTGATAGTTATAATGTCGAAGTCGTAGATAATTTCGTCTAACTTGGAGCCAGTGTTAACACCAACAACAATTTCAATGTCGAAATTCAACGCAGAATAACACTCGACAACAGGTCATTCACAGTTAGCTTTTAGGGCAAAAAATAAATTTCAATGCGTATTCATWTYWTAKTTACTAAAGGAGTAAAACTGTATTGAATKATTTGGTAGGTCTATCCTTTTATTTTAGTTACTGAAATTTTAAGAATGTTAGAAGTTGTATGCACTTTTAAAGCACTGAAAGTGCAGAAGTGACGAACRTTCGGGTTTGCTCGCCACTATATATACAGTCCATAACTCGAATTTCTCCTTAACTCATAACTAGAACTGGTTATAGCGTTTAGAAGTAAAATTTCCTTCCCTGACACAAGACCGAGGATCCTTGTCCTTATTTTTGCTATTTACTCTTTTAACTTTGTCCCAATATAGACCTGCAGGTGTGCAATAGGACTGAGGTCTGGACAACAACAACCGTTTCTTAACCACTAAAACGGATTGCTTCAGGTCGTTATCCTGAACAAAGCAGTAACCACCATTTTGACTACCGGAGCCAAATTATATTTTAATATTGTCAAGTAGTCCTTTATTTTCATAATTTCTTCGATGAAATCAATATTACCGAAACCTTTTGCATTTTAAAAGAAATGTTGTCACGTAAGTTCACATCGGAATTCGAGATACCCAGCTGTAGGTCTGTAAATATTGTATATTGACATAGGGTGTATCTACTATATGTAGGTTTTGAGACAACTTTTAGGGTATCAATATACAATATTTACAGACTTACAGCTGGGTATCTCCGAATTCCGAGCTTAAATGACTGGACCAGAAATAGTAATTTGAGTTCGTCAAATTGTATTTGAAAATAGTGTGACGAATAAAGGACGTTAGAAAAGTGGTTAACACGTCAAGAGAAGAATAATCCAGTAACAAGGCTTACATAAATGGTTAAAAAAGGTTTAGGCTTTGCGTTTCCGAAACTGTCCGAAGATAAACTAAGGAGGCAAATTTAAATTGGAGAATAACCCGTTAAAACCGTTTGTAAGCGCAAAAGTTATTTAAAAGATTGCAATTTGCGGGCGGCCATTTTAAATGGCGAACCTAATTCTACTATCAAACACGCGGCGGTAAAGTTATGGTGTGGGCACGCATTTTATACTACAGAGTCGGATATTTAGTATTTTATCCGAAAAACCAATAAAAAATAATGTTAAAAGTTCTACAAGAAAATTTGGGTTTGTATAAATGTCCACAGATTGTTAAAACTTCTGCATCGAAAATTTGTGGTCGATTTTGAAGACTAATATAAAAAGCATGGCATCCAGAAGAAAACCGATTTTCAGCTATACTGCTTGTGTGGAATCAGATTTGACCGGAATACACCAAAAAATTGTTGGGCTACACGTCAAAAAATCTACAAGCTGTATGTGATACTAAAGGATACTCAACTAAGTACTTAAGACCTTTCTACGACAGTCGGGACTACGTAAGCGCAACGAAATCGAATATTATATCCGGTTAAGGACAAACAACTCTGCAGATGGTTGCGGTTTAGTATACCACCGGGGATTAAATAATCGTTAAAACAACAACATTTAGAATAGCATCCCCGGATTTCGGTGYTAAAATGGGTATGTTCGCATAGAGGAGATCCTCCAGATCAGAAATATATATACACATATAGTTGCCGCTGACTTATGGTTTTTGAGATATTTGCATTTAAAGTAAAAAAAGTCAAATATTTAAAATGCGTGCTTCTCCGGTTTATTATGCATTTTACACTTATATTTTATACTTTTATATCCACTAACATTACACTACTTTTTCCAATATAGAAAGAAATTCTATGTGGAAAACTAATGTGTTATATATTTCCTGTCATTGGGGTATTATTTGTTTTCTTTATTTTTTTGGTTCTTCTGTAAAACATGAACGTAAGGTAGCACTGATTATTAGTTAGAATGCAACCCTTTTGTTAGTGTACTGTGACAGCAGTCTTTGTCAGTTATTATACTATTTCATTTTTTTATATTATTCTTGGAAATTTACAGTTTTAACTGAATTCTAAGTTTTTGATTTTAAGAAGCTTCACTTCTTGTACAGAAGCCAACAAGTGAAGAAGTAGTTTGAGTTATCTTAATAAATAATCTTTTAAATATATTATTAAATGTGGTGTATTATTACCACCACAGTACGAAAAAAAAAATAAATGAACAAAAGTTAAATGTTTAAAAGTGTTAGCGGATATAAAAGTTAAAAATATAGTCATAAAATTCAAAATATCCTTCCTTATTATACTATACCAAAATCACACCTGCTCCAAAACTTATAGAAAACTATTCCTAGGAGAAGCAAAGAAATTATATATATTCTTATCTCATAATTCTAATAATTTTTACCTTCGTAAAAGAATTATGTGCAAATATTTTTTTCGGTGTATCTCGAGATTTAATAGCGGTAAATTTTTTTCCAGTATGTATTCATCGTACACAAATTTTGTTTGTATATAAGGTTTAACATTGTTTCATTTGAATTACCGTTAATTGAAAATGTCATTGCGATTTGTATTTTTCATAGAAAATAATTATATGTGCAAATTCATGTATTTGTGCTCTGGCAGCTGAACAGACAACATATAAAGTTTGTATTTTAACTAAAGTTAAAAATTGGAAAATAATAGGTATAAAATATAGGGCGCAGAAAAATAATTTATTATTTTGGAATAGTTATACAGTTAAAATGYCACGTGGTACAGAACCATCGGATGAAGAGCGGGGTAAGATAATTGGAATGCACGAACCCGGCATAAGCATTGGACGAATTGCTGCGTCAGTAAACCGACATCGTAATACAGTTTCAAATTATTTGAAAAATCCTGAAAATTATGGTGTCATAAAGCGTACTGATAAGCGGACCAAGAGACGCATTCATCACTTAGCAATTAGCGAAGGTATGAGTTGCAGGCAGATAAAAGTAGAATTAGGCTTACCAATCACTAGACGGCGTGTTCAGCAAATTATGAAGATTGAATTGGGCGTTAAGTTTGACTCAAAGCTAGTTCAGCCACGAATGAAAAAGCAACATAAAGATGCTGGTTTAATTTTGATGGTCCAGATGGTCATCACAAATATTGGAGAGATACACGGCATCCAAGAGAGACTTGCTATAAGCGAAACCATGGAGTTCCAAAGGAAAATCTCATATGTGTTTTTTACCTACTAAAGTGAGTTCCGAAGTATATATTGATCTACTGGATAAAGAGCTCATTCCTTTTGGTGACAATTTTAATGACGACAATTGGATATYTCAGCAAGACAACGGCCCCATTCATCTGTCACGGGCTACGAAAACATTTTTTCTGTCCCGGAATATCCAATTATTGGATTGGCCAGCTTTGGGTCCTGATTTTAACCCCATAGAGGATCTTTGGGGTATACTTACTTCTAAAATATATGCACATACCAAGCAGTATGATACTATTAAGCTGTTAAAAAGTTCTATTGTATCAGAGTGGGAGAAAATTGAGCTAAGTACTCTGTAAAACTTAGTAGGTTCCATACCACGAAGACTGTGCATGGTAAAACTGCAAAAGGGTAATACTATTACATACTAAAAATATTTAAAATATCAATTACTTATTAATTAATTAAATTTTTGTTTATGTACGTGTTAAAATAACATTGGATATGAATTTTAAGAATCTTTCTACTTTGCACATAAAATTATTTGCTATGGAATTAAAGTAAAATAATTTTTTGTTTTTTAATTTATAAATAACTAAAGTTTTGTTTTTGTTTAAAACATCTTATAAAGCCATAAATAAAACTGTAAGCCAAAAATATATTTTGTGTTTCTGATACTTTAAATTTAAGTTAGTGTATTGCACATATAATTCTTTTACGAAGGTATTAACATGCTCATAAAACTGTTAACAAAATACATTTAACAATGGAATACAACGTAACCCAAAATTAACCATTGCTTCGACACACCCGCTTAAATATTTTTCCAATGAATCTACAAACAAATTATGAAACTGGCTTCATACCATTACCTGCTTTTTGTTGTGTTAAAATGTATAATTTATACTATCAACAAAATAATAATCACAGATAAACCATACATACTTAAATACCTTAAAGTCAATGTCAGAATACTCTTCTAATGAATCCACAAATAAATTATGAAACTGGCTTCCTACTATTTCTTCAAATAACTTCATACTTTCGTTCATATTTATTAATGTATTAGAAACTTTGCGGCAAGTTGACTTCTACTACCCAAAAGTGTTTAACATGGTTATGGAATTTCGATCAAATATATCGAAAATTTATCGACATTCAATGTTTCAGAAATCGATATATGTACGAGCGTGTTTGAAGTTAAAGCATTCCTTGCAAGGRGGGTTTCCGTTAGCAAATGTGTAAACGACTTATTATTCTTCACTCTTGCAAATGTTAAAACATAGGGGCATTCTCTTAGTCTACTTAAATTATAAAGATTTCTTACAGTTTTTTGTTAAGAATGAATACCGAAGGTGAGCCAATTCACTATCCTCATTCTCAATAAATTGACCGAATCAGTCGTCCATATATCACTAGATTCTGCAGTGGGTGCTCTCTTAGTCTTGCATATTCTATTTTTTCTTTAATAGCGGGATTCTGTAAGCAGTCTCTAATCTCTATTTGAGACATTTTGTGGAAAAACTCAATTTGTGACTRGTTACTATTCACTAAAAAGTCTCTAGCTTTAGTCTCAAAATATTGCCCCAAATTTGAGACCTGGTAGTTAGCAAGTCACAAAACCAAAAAGAACTCTTGTCTGCTATTTTGATTATACTGAGCAGAGATCATCATTAATATTAATCGATTGTCATTTTTTTATATTTTGTAAGCAACTCAAACACAAAAAGGTTACAAATAAATCAATTTTACAAAAATTTCGAAAATATTATGAAATAAAATCAACATATAATTTTATTTTTTTCCTAATTATGTTTTTTGACTATGTTATAGAAAATTTACTTCTTGTTATCGACATATTTATTTTCATCCAAGTTTAAAAGCATCTCTGAATTATTAAATGTAATAGATTTTGTGACTGTCACTTACAGAATAGCAAAATCGTCTCAAGTCCCAAAAATTGTCTCTATCAAATTTAGAGACTTGATACTGACGTACAGAATCGCACGGTAAATCTTTTAACTTCGTCCCAATATAGGCCAACAGGTGCTTAATAGGTTCCGTTCATATAACGCTAGCATATTTCGGTGTAAAAGAATCCCCTTATTTTTACTTTTGTTCAGGAAGTGGAAGAGAAGAAACACATCGCCATATGATATTAAAGGCACAATTTCGATTTCTTTGGCGCTGCGATCTGAAAGTACCGTTGGAAAGAGAAAGTCCTCCTGATTAAAAAATATATAGGGTTGGTTACAGGCACCGCAAATGCTTAGTTTAGGAGATATTCGACCTTAAAGTTAAAAAATTCGCAAAATTCGTACATTTCAAGACGCTATTTCACCACATTAAACACACTYTATTCACATTTTTCACTTCAAATTAATTAAATTACACTATAAACTTATAAATAACTCCATATCTTACACTTTTAGCAGGGTTTTTTTACCTAAAAAATCTGCATTTTAAATATTACATTTTACACTTTTTTTTACAAATGGGGTTAGTTTACCAAAAATTAGAATGAAATGGAGCGCTGCCATGTGATGATAAGCAATTCGCTGAAATTCTCTATTCATGCATATGGATATTTTCTTTTTTAAATTTATTAAGGAAATAAGTAATATTATATATATGTATTAGTTATATTATATAATATTACACTACATATTTGGTGTTTGAGATGTGGCAACGCTCGTTTTCCTCATAATTGTAAACAATCTAACCTTTGCAACGCCGAGTTCGCTAAGTGATTTTTAAAATAATAAATTTAGGTGAAATATTACAAAATAAAATTGAAATGTGAACTTATTTCAATGTTTAGAGTGTACATTTAAATAGACAGAGCGGAAAACGTGAATAAATTTAATGGAAGATAGAGAAATACCTTGTGTTATTAGTGCATATTTTTGAACTTTTAATCGTGAAAATTTTAAAAAATATAAGTAATTTTTATATTATTTTTGGATATTCCTCCTCTGGAGAAGCTCCCCTATCCGGACATACACCATTTATAAGGAAATTCGGGTTTTTAACCCCTCCGCCAAAGTAATCGGAATMGTGCCATGTTAAATGATTTTCTCACTCTAACTAATGGCATATACGGCATACTGTCTTATTCTAATAGAATAGGAAGATTCTCTTGCCCTTGTAAAAACTCACCTTCTAGGCCCCTCACATGTGTTTTAAAATTTAGATTTAAAAGTTATATATATATTATATATACAAAATGATGAAAGTTATTATAAATTAAAACAGAAGTTTTAAAAACGTTAAATAGATCCCCTTTTGTTCTAATTGGAATCCTGGATGGTGWCATCATGTTTTGGTGCTTGCGTGTGTGTGTGTGTTAATGTATAGTGTTCTCTCACGTGATGAGGTGAATGCGTGCTTTTGATTTGTTGTGGTGCACTGGTGTAAATGTGAAGTGACGTCGAAACTCATTTAGCCATCCTGGCCCCCTTAGGCGAGTATTTGGCCTAGAAGCCGCTGTATTTGCTGTAGAGACCTGTTGACCGGCAGGAGTGCGGAATAAGCTGATGGGCCATGGTGATGTTGCCCGTTTTTGGCGTCAGGGACGGGATTCTGTTGGAGAGGGTCTGCGCAAGCGGTATGCCGTCACACGAGTTCTTTAAGAACGCCAAACGTTACCGCTGGCGCAAGGAGCCGGTGGTCGCCCGGAGTCGTGTCTGGTAGTGCGATGCAACAGCGTATGGTGCGGCCGCACACAGATTTGGCAACGAGTATTTGATAGGCATTCCTGAGTTGCGTGGGAAGTTTTCCAAGTAATTCAGGCAATACCCGTGCGCCTGTGTCACCTGCTGGCCTTGCATGRGCGGCATGCTTTTAAAGATACCGCAGTGCGATAGCCGATGCGGGCTGCGTCATAGCGGACATCGAATGCGTTGCAGATATGCGGGTGATACTGGCGTGCTTTTACACGGGGCCATTGTCGCAATGGAGCCTGCCGTTGTGCGATGAGCTGCCGGTGCAGTGGTGTTCCAGGGTGCTGCAATTGGGGCAGCTTCAGAGCGAGGAGCGAAAACTACCCAACGCATAGTTGGCGTTGACGATGATGCCATATCCAAGTCCATATTGCTCTGTGAGAGAAATGGTGATATTAGTAACATATTGTGAAATAGAATTGTGTTGAAGGTCTTTTGTGATGTCTTATATTATTCGAGGTTTCGATTTGGTAAGCGGGTAATGTTTCAGCGATTTATTAACATTGCGGTTTCGRTTTTACGTTTCTTTATCTTCGACGATTGGTAGAAAGTATAATTTGACGAGCGGTCTCGAACATGACCGTCGGAACCTTAATGAAGTTGTTTTATGTGGCCGAGTCGCCATTCCGTAGGAGAGAGACAATCGTCTTGTATAAGGACGCAGTCTCCAAGCTTTGATGCCTTTTCTTGAGTTTTCCACCGATATCTCTTGGAGAATTTTAATTCGCTCTCATCTGTTTAATAAGGATAGCAACTCGCCTGACTCAGGTGTGGCCAGAATGGGTGCTCCTTTGAGAAAATGCCTTGCGATTAAGGCTGTGAAATCGGAGGGATCTTGCGAGAGTGGTGAGATAGGTGTAGAGTTTAGTATGGCTTTGATACGAGGGAGTAATGTAGTAAACTCCTCATAATAGAATTTATGGTTACCATCCGGTTTCTTTAAATAGGATCTTTACTGCTGATTCCCAGAGTCCACCCATGTTTGGAGAACATGGGGTATGAATTGCTAAATCGATCCCTTGGGGTGCATATTTTTTTACAATGTCGGGGAATACTTCTTTCATGAATTGTAAAAACTCCTCTTCCGTGACTCTTTGAACTCCGACATAATTTCTTCCATTGTCGCTCATAATTTTTAAAGGAAATCCGGGTCGTCCGACAAAGCCGGCAAATGCTGCAAGAAAATCCGTAGTAGTCATATCCGAACATAGCACGAAGTGTACTGCTTTTGTCGTAAAACATACAAAGACAGCCACGTAACCTTTTCTAAATGAGGAAGTCCTTAGCATCGAGGCCTTTATCTGGAAGGGTCCAGCAAAATCAACCCCAGTGATGATAAAGGGTAAAGCATAGTTGCAGCATTCAGGTGGTAGGGCTGACATGAGCTGTGTACGCATCTTGTGCTTGTACATAGTACACTGTTRCACATGAAAATGGTTCTTTTAATTTGTGGCTTTAATCGCATCAAGAAATGCTCACCATGCAGTGGAAGCTGGTGGAGATATATTACAAATGAGTAGGTGAAACTGTATTTCTCTGGGATAATGATGGGATGTGGTTCGTTGCAACTAAGGCGGGWGTTGGCTAGTCTTCCATTTGTCCGTATTAATTCCTTAGCGTCCAGGAATGGGTTTAAGACTAGAAGTGAGCTTCCTTTTTCGAGTGGTCGCCTTTCAAGCAACTCCTTGCTGAAATAGCGAATTTGTGTATACAAGGTTAGACTGACCTTGTCATGGTGCATGCCGGAATATGTTAGTTGTATGTAAGGATCGTTTGATATTCTTTAAATATTTTGTTTAAGTTTATGAATGAATTTGTGCATATAAGCGACTACCCTTAGTGCTCAAGGAAATGCTGAAAATCTGTGAATCTATTTTCTAACTTTCCGGAGTTATGATATTCCGTGCAGGAGACTTTGACCAGAATTCTTGTGATTCCGTTAGCCATGTAGGACCGTTCCACCATCAACATGTTGCCATTTTGCTGAGCCAACTAAGGCTGGATGGAGTCAGGTATAGAAGTTCACGCTAGTGAGAAAAGTTCTCTGATCGCCATTCACTTGGAAGTGACCAGAAACGATTCTTTTGCATGTGACTCAAGCTGCTCACGACTTCCGGTCTTTGATCAAGTATTCTCTGCTAAGTGAGAAGCCGAAAATATCCCCAATAGGGTTGTGCGCAGGGTTTGGGATCCGCCACGTAAAAACACATCCCAAATGAAAATTRAACCAGCCCSGGATGAGAGACCCCCTTTTTGGTGACGACCATGGGAAACGAAATAAGGACTAGGAATTGAGGGCAAGCACCTGGAATGTCGGGTCCCTTAATTGGGAATGTGCCGCTGCCCAGCTGGTTGATGTCCTCGTGATAATAAAAGCTGAAATCA